GAAATAAAAATTTGTCCCTGCTTTACGACCCAAAAATTTAAAAAAAACGTAAAAAAATAGCAATTTTTGAAGGGCATTTTAGGGCACTTGCAGAAGGTTTAGCACATTAAAATGGCATGTATTGGGTAGAGCGTCCTCAAACTGTAATGTGGCGGTGAAAAACTCGAAAAAGTGTAATAGTTTGCGAGATATAGGGTGGTTTTCACAGCATGTTTTCAAAATATCCCAAAAAGGGCGATGTTTGAAGGGCATTTTAGGGCACTTCCCAAATGTGTAGCGAACTAAAATGGCATGTATTGTGTAGAGCGTCTCTTAAACTATAAAATGGCAGTGAAAAACTCGGAAAAAATGTAATAGTTTGCGAGATATGGGGTGTTTTCCACAGCATGTTTTCAAAATTTCCCAAAAAGGGCGATGTTTGAAGGGCATTTTAGGGCACTTCCAGAATGTTTAGCACACTAAAATGGCATGTATTGGGTAGAGCGTCCCTCAAACTGTAAAGTGGCGGTGAAAAACTCGGAAAAAGTGTAATAGTTTGCGAGATATAGGTGTTTTCCACAGCATGTTTTCAAAATTTCCCAAAAAGGGCGATGTTTGAAGGGCATTTTAGGGCACTTCCAGAATGTTTAGCACACTAAAATGGCATGTATTAGCTATAAAATGGCGGTGAAAAACTCAAAAAGTGTAATAGTTTGCGAGATACAGGGTGTTTTCCACAGGATGTTTTCAAAATTTCCCATAAAAGGGCGATGTTTGAAGGGCATTTTAGGGCACTTGCAGAAGGTTTAGCGGATTAAAATGGCTTGCATTGTGTAGAGCGTCTCTTAAACTATAAAATGGCGGTGAAAAACTCCAAAAAAGTGTATTAGTTTGCGAGATACAGGGTGTTTTTCACAGCATGTTTTCAAAATTTCCCAAAAAGGGCGATGTTTGAAGGGCATTTTAGGGCACTTCCAGAATGTTTAGCACACTAAAATGGCATGTATTGTGTAGAGCGTCTCTTAAACTATAAAATGGCGTTGAAAAACTCAAAAAAAGTGTAATCGTTTGCGAGATACGGGGTGTTTTCCACAGCATGTTTTCAAAATTTCCCAAAATGGGCGATGTTTGAAGGGCATTTTAGGGCACTTCCAGAATGTTCAGCACACTAAAATGGCATGTATTGTGTAGAGCGTCTCTTGAACTATAAAACGGCGGTGAAAAACTCGAGAAAAGTGTAATAGTTTGCGAGATATAGGGTGTTTTCCACAGCATGTTTTCAAAATTTCCAAAAAAGGGCGATGTTTGAAGGACATTTTAGGGCACTTCCAGAATGTTTAGCGCACTAAAATGGCATGTATTACGTAGAGCGTCTTTTAAACTATAAAATGGCGGTGAAAAACTCAAAAAAGGGTGTTGGTTTGCAAGATACAGGGTGTTTTCCACAGCATGTTTACAAAATTTCTTGAAAAAGCCGTTGTTTCAAGGGCCAAGGCACTTCCAAAATTTTTAGCGAGTTAAAAAGGCATGCGTCGTGTAGTGTGACTCTTAAACTATAGAATGGCGGGGAAAAACTCAGATAATATGAAATAGTCAAGGAGATACAGGATGTTTTCCACATCATGTTTTCAAATTTTCATAAAATTGCCAAATTTTGAAGCGCATTTATGGCACTTCCAATGGGCCTAGCGGGTTAAAATAAAATGCATCGAAGAACTTTTCAATAAATTTTTTTGACTGAAAAACAGGTGCAAACTTTTCACCTAAATTTGTTTGGGTCGAAGAACACTCACCCCGGTGGAGTTTTTCACCGCCACATTATAGTTTAAGAGAATATGTGAGTCATCCACCTTTAACACAGCCTACAGATCATATGTTTAGTTGAATACATATATCGATATCGTTTCAAAATTCCTAGAACTCCTAAAATGTTCACTGCACGCGGCGAAAGCGCTTAAACATCGTGTCAAATGTAATTAGGCACTTCCGGTCGATGTGTTAAACGCTTGAAATTTCAAAAGAGACAGCCACACATGTACTTACGGATGCCACGTGTACTTATACGATACAATTGCACCTCCCGCATTCCAATATCGTGCGTTATGTTTAGTTAACACGATGAGATTAGCTCCAGCTGCTGAACTGCACCCGGCGCGATGAATTTTTGTATGAAATTTTATAAAGCGTCAATCTTCATATTTTTGGCGAACGTTTAACATCAACATTAACCCAAACAATACAAGACAAAAATGCAGTCCAGAACATGGCCTAGGTGCTCTTTAAATCGCTTATTATTTAAACAGGGAATAATGTACTAAACACTAGAGTACAAACCTAAGCAAAAGTTTAAAGAGCTGGCTACCGCACAGCGCTCCATTACAAACAATTAGCAATCCCAGCACTCTCTGAAGTTCTCCTGAAACTAATGTCGGCCTATGTAGGCTACGCACTGAGGAGATGCATAAGTAAACCATTAACGAAATTAGCTCGGGTATTAGTAATAGCTTAGCGCGAGACTATTATATATTCGGGTGTGTTCCAAGTGAACCGAGCAAGAGAGCAAATGAATGCGCATTATCCAGGTTTCATTTTAATGCAAACATTTCCTAACTAAGATCAAAATAATACCGCTGCTATGGTAGCAAACGGCTGTTGAAGCCGCACTCCAAAAGGGGGAATAGAAAATATAATTCTGCAATAATTTCATTCTGTTTTCTATTCATTTTAGCTGGGTGCAAAATTAAATCATTTTCAAAATAATTATTATGTTTACAAGAAGGTTGGCTCGTCAGGTATCAGAATGTATAACAATACAGTTATTACCGATACATTTAACTATCGAATATAAAGTTATGCGCAAAGGAAAATAAATAAACAAACGACGAATTTGTAGAACTATTCGGGCGAATTTTAAATTGCATCCGCATCTGATATTGACAGCAAATCAAACGCCAATCTCCGAATGACAGGCGCTTGATCTCCCGGCCGCCTTCCGTCGCATCAACGCCACTTGCCTCCGTGTGGATCAATACTTATTGTAAAGTCTCACTTAAAACGCCGATCGGTTAATGGCGCGAGCATGCAGCCCTCGTATTGTACGTCATTATCCTTAATCGAGTCAGGACGTGCTACAGAAAGAAATTATTTATTTAAAGTAACAAGATAGCGGACGGCACACCGCGATGCTTTTGTGCGCACCCTAATTGCTCTAGTTTTACACAAAGGTATAGGTAAGCAATGGCTTATGATGTAATATATGTTTTGCTTTGTATTTAGTTTTTGCTTGCTTACCGGATATTTGAATACTCGAGTAATTTGTTAATTGCAGCAAAAAATCTCGACCCAACACCAAGTGTTATAAATATGTAAAGATAATTAATAACATTATCATTAATTTATTTTATACCTTGTAAATATATGCACTTAATGCACTAAATAAATAAATGATTTGATGAAGTCTACGAATCTAATGTTTGGATTGTGTCCTCGAATCACGATAAAGAATCTCGATTATTTCTATTACACCCGGTTACAGTCGCAGCCATGTTGTGTACATGAACAGAGCATGCATACTTGCATGGTTACGTCACTCGACTCATATTGAATTGCATCATATGCACGGGCACAATATTAACAAGCTACTAACATAATCTTTCGTCTAATAATGTGAGCCAAACGTAGCAAAACCGACCACACTAGCGGAAATCCATATCATATGTCAGTACCACTAACATGAATACCGATTATATAACATTTCAGCGTACGTTGCGAAAACATTTTAGTGACGTTAAATAATACGCAATAAATTGTGGCAGTATTTAATATGATTTCTAATTATTTCATGACAAATGGTAGAAATGAATGTGGGACGCAGAAAGGATAACCTTCAAGATGAAGACAGTTTTTCACTAAGGTGGTTTCAGACCTTTTTTGTCAGTGATGATACGAAAAGATCAAACGAACTACACAGATCCAAATTTAAAGAATGAGTTAAAAAATTGTTTAAAATGAACACTAGCATTATTATGGAAGAAAACACGTTCGCAGATCATTCTGGAATTGTATCTCTTTGCATTTCCGTAAATGCACAATGTGCATAGTGCAATGTGACGCCAATGCGCGTGGTTAAGCTTGATCTAAAAGCGACGCTCGTAAATAATTGCTCCTTTAAGATGAAACGGGGCATAGTGTCGTCTCGATTCCGCGAATTGTGACCATCAGCCTCTAGTGCGCCCAGTAATCGTTAACAACACATTGTGATGATTTCCATCACGTGCATTATTGCCGCGCATTAATTCTAGTTTACGATTGCGATTATTTTGCGCGGCGACGCACACTCCAGTCGCAAAGCTTAAACGTGCGCTTTGCGGGCGCGTTTGTACGTACAAATTAATAAATTTAAGCGGCGGTCGTTTATTGCATGAAAGCCGCGCATGTCGTCAGCACAATTTGTTAATTTTATACAAACCAGGTGTGAGGACGTGTTGTAACTAACACCGATGCATAAACGTCTTCACCAGCACCGCCAAAGCCAGTAGGTAAACGCATGAACAAAACAACTACAGCTTATGCGTGTTATTAGCCAGCGCTAGTACAGGAAGGATACAGCGGTTTTTATGTGATTTTATCGCATAATTTTGACACGTTCACTTTCAAGTGTCTACTATCGCCAGAATTATTGCCCACATTACTCGAGAGTATTTTAATTCGTAACTTTGGCTTACGGCAAATTGTTAAATAAATAAGCGCATATGTAAGACGCTGAAACATTTCATACATTAAAAAATGGATACAAATGTAATTGAGATGAATATACCAAGAATAATCGTAAAATGGAACGTTAGATTTATTATTGTAAATGGCACAATTCGCGCAACTCTACCAGAAAATGTATAGAACGCAAAACACTATTTCTGTCCTGGCAATTCGTGCAAACGCACATACATCAAAATATCATAAATCAGTTCATTTACATTGCACATCTTTGTATTTGAAATAGTTTCGCATGCATACGAATGAAGCTGGCGCAGCAGTCAGAAGATTACCGTATAGAATTTTATTTTATATCTTTCGCCAGCCAAAAGCTCTTTCGTGTGACAAATTAGTCGTTGAGGTTTAATGGCGAGTACGCACGTTTCTATTGAACTCAATTCGGAAGCATAGCGAATGAGAAAGACTTAATGCAGGAAGCCAGTAATTGCAAATTATACGAAGAAGGTATAAATCTAATGATAAGTCAAAATACCATTTGATATACATTGCTTGCAGATCGACGAATGCCGACGTGCATCGCCACATGCTTGCGTTTATAAATAAGTGCCAATGTCGGTATCTCCGTCGGCGTTTATTTTATGTTGAAGCATTTGTGAATCCGTGTAAGTGCACCTCTAAGTACACATTTTATGTAAAATTGAAGGGAGCACAAACAAACGAATTGGAACCGAGCTCAACGTGCTAATATGAACGCTTTTAATTACTATGGGCGACCATTAAGCCAAATATCCGTTTTTGATGGAACAAAGTAAGTGCAACTACATTTTAAAATATTGATAACCATTTAATTAAAGGCGATAAATAAATGATGTAAATTATATTGCAGACGATCGTGTATGGTCAGTATACAAGCATCGCCACATCGCGTTGGTTCTCGACCAACTCCCGGGTGTCGCCACACATCCATACGTTTACGCGTTAACGAGCATTTAGTCGAAAGTTGGAAACATGTGCGCGTGAAATTCCCCCTAACCATCCATTCGCTCTATCCGTACACGCACCAAAAAGTAACATCTCGCCGGGCACCTATTTCGAGAGTGCGAGCTGTCAGAAGTGGAGTGCATCAAAGTTAATAGCTAATGCGTTGTAGATTCCTAATTATAACACAAACATAACACATCTGAGCGTGCGTTTTATGTTCTCTCCCGTATGAGTAAAAATCGCGCCGCATGGATATACAACACATTTGTTCAGCGTCGTAAGAGTCTCTTAATTGGGCTCGTTACCGCTCATTCGTACGTCCATATCTCATGTGCTCCTTTACTTGTCACCTTCTGTAATGTGGCAGGCACTATAAGCCTCTGGTATTTTTATTTACTAATGATTTAACAACTTGATTTCGCATTGAATTTCATGAGAAATTTATATTTTCCCCAAAAAAATATTTCTGTACCTTTATAGATATATGAAGAACGAAGAACGAAGAAGAAGGCAAGAATACGCAAGAAGGGATCATTGTTGAGGGTCGATTATCGCAGAGCGAGGGTTAATTAGTCCGCATCTAGTAGCTCCAGAATTAACTCAATTTCTTGTGCGTAGTTACTATCCATGCGATTTCCAATAATCCGCGCGTTTTTGAAAACCGTTAAACGCTTTCCACCTTTAGAATTCCTTATATTTGCCAGCCCGGCGTAATCACGAAACAATGCGAATCGCTAAACGGCAGCAGGCGCTAACTAATTAATGTCGACGATTATGCCTGCCTTGCTTCGCCAGCGTGTTATAAATAGTCAATTTATGAACGATCTGTCAACATAATTATCCGAGATGATGTTGACAAATGGTCACGAATCCACTCGATTAAGCTCGGCTTGTAATAATAAGTGGCGATGGTCGTCGCCTGCGCGCACGCTGAGTGGAGTGTTTGTATTATTTTAGGCCGCCTTCTTTTTACGCGTGCTCCGGCTCGACAGGCAGGCGGCATACATGTGATATTTTTTCAGTTGTGCGCATTTCATGGAGCGCATAATTCATATTAACGAGTGAGCAAACGAGCAATAGATAAACACTGTTTTAAATATGATGATAGGCATTTAGCATTCCTGCAAAGCAATGACAGGGGCAGACAGGGTTGCCAAGTTGGAAGAGGGGTAGCTGTTTTAACGCGGCGGTAGTCATGCTGAGAATGCAAGCTTTATGAAGGGGAGGACGCCGCCGGAATGGAGCATTGCATCAAGTAATTGTGAGCTGTAAGATGAGTTACTACAGCAGCTGTCTCTCCCACACCGCTGTGCTCTCATTTAAATCCCTCTAAAGATATCCAGGCGGTCGACGTGCCACGAGCGGGGTAGGTGCGGGCGCTGGTACGGCAGACGTTGTGTCTTTGCGCCCACTTCTGCTTGCGTTCAGAATTAACTGCCGCTTCAACATCTCTCTTCGGCATTACTGCGCTTTCGGCGTCGTTACTAGTGTTTTTACTAATTGCCTGCCTGCGAACCTACTTAGTCGTATGACGACGAGCGTGTACATCGATTTAGTCTTCGTGCGCACATGTACTTTCGTTCCTACGAATTATTTAAATAGATTGGCGAGTAGCAGATCGACGGGAAAAAGGAGCGATGTAGCAAGCAGCGTGAAACTGAATGATGCGTGAAACAAATACGGGAACATTTCAAGCGTCTTTACCCCGTTTGTCGTGTCTTCTTTATCGCTCGTCGGCGCTTTTGGTGCGCATAAATGTTTAGCCCGTTGTGCTAAGTGCCGCAGATATCTCGAAAGCGTGCGAGCGCAGAGCTTTATATTTTACGAGCGTGCTCGGTACGCATCGTCCTCGTCAACGCGGACGTCCACGCTTTTGTTAATTTATTTATGTAAAATGGTCGTTAACGTCGCGCTCTAACTGTCCGACCGCCATAGCATTGGCGCGTCAAATGAAAACATTTGTTCTGTTATACGCGACCACCGTGGGTATGAAAATTGCACTTCAAAATAAAAAAATCATAATCGCTCAGATAAACAAACTGGTGTTAACATTTTTCTTCATATGTAAATTTACTGTTATTAAACCGCACTAATTATGTTATTAATGCGCGTGCCGGTTTGAGAATTAAATCTTTCTAATGGCTTACCTGTGTTTCGGTGACGTTCAATAACTTTGCCATTTCGGAACGCTCGCTGCTGCTCAGGTACTTTTTCATTTCAAATTGTTTTTCCAGCTCGAAGATTTGCCTGCCGGTAAACGTTGTCCGTGCTTTTTTCTTTTTCGATTTGGCGTCGGCGTCCTCTGTCGCCGCATCCACAGGTAGGACGGTCGCCGTAGCGGTGACCGTCGTTGCTGTTGCCGCCGCCGTCAGAACTGATGATGTTTTTGTGTCTATTGATTCGCGCGGTCTTTTTCTTGTCTTTCTTGTCGATTCTTTGCGTGCGAGCGCAGAAAATAGATATCAGTTGCATTTCATATCAGTTTCAATTTTGTTTGCGCAAAACAATCAGAGAAGAAAAATATAATTTTAATGTGTGGGAAAAACACGAGGATCAAAACAGGAAGAGGTTATGCGAACAAAACAAATATCTGATATGACGTACCTTTGTCTGTTTTTGTCCTCACTCGGTTGTTACATTTGATTGATAGATTAAGCGGTTCGTTTAACTCAAGTTTTAAACTGTCATCGCCGAAATCGCTCACTACAGTCATGCTGCCGTTGCGCTCAATATCGCAAACGTCGTCCAGCTCACACAAATTATCACTCAGGCCGAGAATGTTCTCTATGTAGTGTGGGGTAGGTCTCGTGTTCAACTTGCGGTACACATGCTCGTGCCAGGATAAGGTGCGTCCGGAAAAATGCGACGTGCTTCCTTCGCTCTCGCGATCCGAGTCGCAGTTGTTGGCAGAAGTTTGAATGCTGGCGAAGCGTTCGGCAATTAGCGATTGATTGGGGTCGGTGGCGCTGAACGTTTCACTCTCAGAGACCGTGGACATCTCTGTGGAGGCAACATCAGTCGACGGATTGCGCACAATTAAACTACCACCACTCGCTCACCCAGCCGCTTGCCAAGTGCCGACAATCGGGAGCAATTACGGCGCGAAACGTCCGGTAATCTATATTGCGGTATGACACTCGTCCGGCGATATGCGCGCACGCCGCGGTGTTTTAAGCGCTCCACACTCACACTGGCACGACGACGATGCGCGACGACGAGGCGATGGATACAATTAGTCGCTTCATTATTCGAAGACCGAGCCGAATGTGAGCGGGTGAGCGTCGAGCGCCGCGCACATGCCGCGCGCGCCGCGACTTTGGGGAGAGATCAAGCCGGCGGCAGCCAGGAAAGCAGCCCGAACGCACGCGAACTGATACGAATATTCGGAGGGAGGAAAAGTCTACTGCTGCGGGGGTGCGGACTCAGCGGCGCGCTCTTGCGCCGGCAATTTTCCTCAATTGTCGAATTGGTGCACGCTTCGGGGTTCCCATTCCAGTCTGCTCCCGTACATCCCGAGCGCTGACAATTCATAAATGCCACGCGACATCATATTATCCAAATCAATAGTGAAAGTTGCAATTCAGGATCATCGGAATTAATGCAGATTTCATATTGATTGAAATGTCGCCAAGTATTGTGCACTAAGGCTCTTTGAGCTATTAGCCTGATGGAACAGAACAGGTAGATCAAAATTGTTGTTCGCTATTTGAGGGATCAGCCCTTTGCGACCTCAATGTTTCAAGCGCTGCGGAACAACAGTGACTTCGCATAATGAGCATAGGATAAATAGACCACCCTCCTCCCACCCTTTACTAGAACGGCATAATATTATTATGTTATTATTGCACCCGGCGAACATCGGTGGAGGTGAGTGAGTAAGAGCATGAACATGCGTCTAAGCACTATCGATGCAATAATAACTCATTGTTACCAAGCTCTGATGCAAGGCGGCGGCAGCGGCGGCAAACGCACCCACTCACTACAAACGCCCCCGAATGCACCTCAATCCAGTACCCAATCCGCATAAAGCAATTAATTAAAACGCTATTAACAGACCACATCAGACGCATTTGCAGTCGATTCGTTTCGATTCTATTTTCTGCGCATTTATTTACAAAATTTCTGCCAACTCGTGCGAATATAATGGAAGCTACAAATTTACCCATGTAACTAACAATATATGTTGCCGTAGCGAATGCACCCGATGTGCGCCGCCCCAATGGTAATTACTAATTAACGGGAAAAATTACGGACGCGCGCACTCCCGATCAGATTTCTGCCGCTGTGTTTTTATTATCGCTCTCACGTGAAAAAGCATTGATAAATTATTACGCTTGCGATGGTATATCACAATTTAATGCAAATACAATTATTTGAGCTTAAATAATAATTTAATTAATCTAATCGATGGCAAAAACATACATGTTCACGATAACTATTATCCGTTATGTGCACATGCGAATTTACATTGTCGAGTAAAAATGCGAATTGAATTTAATTGTTAGATAAATAAATAGATAAATAACCACAAAAGAGGAAATTACATTTAAAAACAATACAAAGAGTAATATGTCCACACTGATATGTTAAGATACTGGCTGCCTCGCAATAATTTTTACCATCAGGATATTTACTATGTTTTATATTCAATTTCTGGTATTTTTCTTGATCCAATCAATGTACTCCGTGACCCGAGTGTACACACCTGGATAGCCCGGCTCGCCGCACTTGTTTCCGAAGCTCACAACGCCAACCTGGGTCCACCTCGTGTCCCAATTAATCATTAACGGCCCGCCGGAATCCCCCTGAAAAGATGATTATGTGTAAATGCGGGCGCGCTGATTTATTCACAGCATTTAATAGAGTTGTATCCGCGGCGGCGGCGTACCTGGCAGGCGTCCGTACCACCCTCCGAGTATCCGGCGCATATGAAATTAGACGTAATGGGTTGAAAGTATGCTTGATTGCAGTCCTCGTTGCGCCACACAGGTAGCTGGGCTTCCCGCTGTGTGGTGCTCTCTTTGCCACCTACTTAACAATTAATGTTGTGTGTTTACATAACCGACAAGTACAAACCGTAATAGGTAGTTCCCCAGCCGACGACGGTTGTCCGGTGTCCTGCAAACGTCTCCTTTTTTGTCCTGCCCTCCGGCAGGCAAATGGGTATCACGTATTTTGATTTACGCACTGGTCGGTCCAGCACCAGAATGGCGATGTCATTGTAAAATCCAATGCGACTGAATTCTTTGTGAGCTCGGATTTCCATCACCTTGAAGGTAACTGGCGCTGAGGGTTCATTGTCACGCTTTAAATCAATGTCGCCCAATCGTACAGTAAACTGATGTGGAGAAAATCTGTAATCATAGGCATGGACGCAGTTCAAAATCACACTGTAATATTATATTCGGCTATTAATGGTTATACTGTCTTTGTCGAGAATCGCGCGTACAATGCGCTGCAGTCAGGATGTGTTTAGGTGAAATAAGAGTTCCTCCGCACCAGAACTCGGTCCTTCTAGCTCCGTGTAAGAAAATTGCTGCCATCCAAGGCCATCGACCTGGAAGGGAATCTTCTCCACCAACAACTCTATATTTGGCGTATTCTGGTTGACCACAGTCTGTAATTCAACTATTTGAATTCATTTGTATTGTAGATAATAGACTGGAGATACCTTCAGGATCCACTACATTTTCAACAGGGGTTAAGACCGACGCTAGTGTTACAGTTTGTGGCGGAGGTGCCGGTGTTGCAGATACAGTTGTATCTTCCGGAGGTACGTACTGTACTGGTCCTGACGTCAGCGCGGGAGGTATATATGCAGGTGTAGTTGTTTCAAGGGGTCCAGAACGAGGACAACATACACCTGGTACGAAAAGGCTTTTGAAGCAGAGGGATTGACGCAAATTGCTTAGGTTAAGAAGCAACTGTGGACAATCACTCAAATCATCGCAATATCTAAAACATAAAGGAGGACATAGTAACAAGGGTAATATATAGAAAATTGTTTAAAACGATACCCTTGGAGGCCATCCGGAGTAGTACATACTCTAGAGCTAGTACTCGCCTCGGTTGTTGTGGTTCGCACTTCTGATGGTCCAGCAAGTGGTGGTAATGCTTCGCGCACCAACGGTGCAAATGAATCAGTCACATTACGACCCAAGACGTTTTTGCTGATTGTGTAAATGGCACCGGGTAACTCAGCTTGTTGGCCCCGGTCATCATTTCCTCCACGCGTCATGTTCACCAAGTATCGGCCGACAGTGTTGAGCGCGCCGAGGGTTTCCGATATCTTAAAAATGGTCTCCGGCCGCAAGTGTCGACCTTCATCGCTTGAATCCTGTAGCGGTGCTTGCGGCTGATAATTGCGCTTATCTCCATTTCTAGACTGCGGAATTCTTATCCAGCGCTTTTGCTCGCTAACTTGTTCGCGCTCCCATGGTGCGAAATTCGTCAAGTCTGATAAGAAGTCGCATCGGACGTGCGCAATCTGAGCCACAAGGCAGAAATTCATTATTCCTAAATGAACATAGAATAGAATATACTAATATACTAAAGATAATCGTATTAAAAAAGTTTTTAGAGATTTCTACGTTTCTTGCTGAGGCCTTCGCCAAGTTAAAGCAGAAGAAAGTGAAAATGACGCATACACTCTCGAATATAGATATTACAGTGTCAAGGTGTCCCGCGGGGAATTTCGAGTAGAGTTTTTACTTTCACCTATCGTACACATCCGTCTTGACGTAATTTGTAATATGTGTTCGGAGTTCCCAACATCGCCACGCAATATTCCAATGTGTACGAGTATAAGAATCTCATTGCTAAATTGTTATGAAATTTTATTGGTTTCAATTAACACGTGTGACAAATTTTCTAAATAAATTTCTTCTCGGTGAGAGAAATCTCGACTCAAAGATTAGACAATAAGATTAACCGCTCTTTTACAAAGGCAAAGAATTCAGTGTAATTTAGGTCTTGGGTTGCTTTTATCTCACACATATTTTGAATGTTAAATGTTTTTGGAAAATTGTGTAATGCCTATTCTTGGGATGTTGGGTAAGATTACTATTTCCGAAATTGTTCGTTGTAATACACAGATTTAATGACATTCATACGTTAATAACAACCTTAAGACAGATATATTTCCAAATTATTTAATATCTGTCTGGTTATTATGATCACGTCTGCACACGAAAGCATGACAAATAAGTAGTATTGTGATTACATAAAGAAACAGGATATTATTCTAAAGAAGTTTTCTTGTCATATTTAGGTTACATTAATAAAAGCAAGTAGATTGCAGTAATGAAATTCTCATGACATTACAAACCATTAATTCGGAAAATTAAATTTCGTGCAGTGAAATTTAAAATTATACTCCAAATTACATAAAGTAGTAAATAATTTGTTGATAAATTTGCGACAAATTTAAAATTACACACAACAATCAAATCCAAGACAATAGCACATCGCGGACCATCGTCCAAATTGCGATAAAGAAGATCACATTATTTTGTTTAAATGAAGGCTCTTGTAGACAAGAGTGTAATAAAACGGATACGTAACTTTCTCTATGACTAAGTGGTATTTAACCGATGCGAATTTAATCCATTGTTTTGTGAACAACAAACAAGGTTGGTATACACGCAATTTTCTATATCAGAGAAACTTGAAAAGCAAAGTTTATATTTAATGCATACCTAAATTTTATTCGGCCACTATATAAAAACGTCTACAATTGTCGCGCAACGGTACACAATTGATTAGACCGATTCACGAATCGATGAGCGATTTCTAAATATGACGTTCTGCGCTCCATATTCATGCTAACCAGTCTCGCACCGAATTGCACATAACGCTATCATAAATTTGCACATTAATATCAATTAGTGACGTTGCATTTGATGTGTTATCCGTCAACAGTCGTCAATATTCTCACGATCGGCCAAGAAAGTTGGCGAGTGTAATTAATTCGCAATGAAATTGCGCACTTTTTATGCATCCGTCCGGTAATCCGCGAAGAAAATTGGTAACTACCATCCAACAGCACACGGCTCACATTGTCAAGTCCACGTTAGTCAAGATTTCTAAAAATGGCGTTATTTTTGCAAACTTTTCAACAAATAATGACTTTTATCAATCTTTTAGAATTATTAAAACCCCAATTTAATTTTAAACCATTGTACATAGAAGAATACAATTGAAGCAAATAAAACAATTGAAACAATTATTGAAGATAAAGTTTTATACTAGTTTCAGTTTATTTACGCACCCAAATATAAAATCCATGTATGCATTTTTATAAATTTGATCTTGTCAACCAGTTGATGCGGGTTAAGAAACTTCATAGAAGTCAAACACTTGCACTTGACGCACTTTATAATACACTCGAATAGTTATTTTATCTTTTGCACGTGCAAGTTTTAAACAAGTGATTAAACACGCGCGCCAACCATCGAGAACACGATCAAGAATTGAATTATAAGTGGCCAACGCGACGTTTGCTGGCTGCTTGGTGGCGACGCTTGGATGCGAGGTTCTGACCCACATTCGTCCATGAACGGTCTGAAGAAAGTGAGCGTTTGCCCTTACTCTTTCTTTCATTTCTCCCACGAAATAACGAAGCAGCGAAACCGTGTAAGTAACGTTACTGCCGTGCGCGATGACTGCATCAAGACATACTCATCGAAGCCAACACATTTCACATCATAATCACAATAATCACTTTCATCGACCAAACATTTAATACAGATTCGTTGCATGTGAAATAGGTACTGCATTTTTAGTCATAGTTGAATTCATTATAAATTCGCGTGGTTGAATATTCAATGAAAGGCGATTTCTTTTTGGTCTCCGTTTAAAATTGGCATTTCGAATATTTGGGAATATCCCATGTAGATGAAAGAAAGTAAAACTATTCATCTGCCTGATATGCAAGAGTGTTGAAAAACATGTTGTAGTAGATATATAAAAACTATTTAGATAATCTAGCGTAACACTTACTTAAAATTTATTACACAAACCATCTAAATACACTGGCGGGGGTGGTATGCTTCCTACTAATGGTTCAAGTTCTGCTAGAGAGCACTCAGCGACATCTGCTACCGAATACCTTAACGAGACAACATTATTATTGCATTGGGTAAGTAATCTGTGTTTTTTATTTAACAATACGCGCAGCATAGTAAATATTGCTTATCACAGATTAGTAAACCTCGTTAGCATTTGCATATACCTATGTATTGCGGTTTCAGGTGGTTTAATTTCGTTTACAATCAACTCGAAGGTTTGTAGGTTTGGTGTAGATAGGTGAAAGAGTTCTAGCCAGTTCTTTGACTTGTGCGATATATAAAAGTATGCCGTATTCCAAAGTGGCAGAGTTAAATCAACAATGCTACCTACATTGGCGGGGTAAATGGGACTGTTGCATAGCAACCATAGTAACGTAGTTGTTAGAAATCCGCAGTTGTGCAGCAATAATGTTACATACATCATGACAAAAAATGTCCCCATCCAAGAATTGAGTTTTTTTTTTATCAATTAAGTAAGTCAGAGAAAAGTTGTAATTGTATTGCAATTTTCACAAAATTACTGTGTCAATTAACATACGTTTGTTTAATTTTTAAACTCCTTTAACAAATTTATTCTAGTAAAAAGATTTTATGTTACAAGAGATAGATAGAGGGAGATAGCCTTGATTCGTCTTATTTTGAATCTTTTTCGTCATTCTGTATAAAATAAAGATTACCGGTCACAATCCGGTTCTGTCAATTCCCAGATCAGCTGTTTATCGACTAGGTCGCGTCGCCGCCATGCTGGGATACCATAGCAACGAGCGAACGCGGCACGCGGTTCGTCGAATCGCCGGCAACCACCTTCCACTCTCGTTCAGACAGCGGATGGCGCCGCGTGTGAGTGCAGCGCGCTTAGCGAGCGTCAGTTGAACTGGTGAGCACCTGGTGGGACGTTCGGTGCCTTGATAATCGCTTTGTTTGCTAGCGACTAGCGGAAGCCACTCTCGTGAACATACCAAATAGTGCGTGCTAACGTCTTCGGTGACTGTGTGTACAGTTTGCTATAGGAATATATTCATTTACGGAACATCGATGTGTGTGCGACATTAACGAAACGCATTCGATATGCAATTCGAAAGTTTCCCCAACTTTTCATTGAAGACTTTGGGTTTGGCGGCACTCATTCTGATGCTGCACAACTTTTCCACATCGCAAGCCTCGCGAACGTGCAGCCACAAACATCCGAAACACAATGAGGTAGGAAAGCATACATACATACTTATTGCTTGTGTGAATTTGGCGCATTTTCAAAGCAGGTTAATAAACATTGTTAATTGTAGTATGAAGTAATTGTACAAACATACTACGCGAGTGTTACGGGGAACAATCGGCGGGATCTCATGGTCGTTGCTTGTGTGCATGCACCTCGCACACGACTTTTACTTTCCGGCTTGGCGTCTTGTAGTGTCCAATCAGCTACATAATGTTAATTCTAACATTTTCCATTTCATTAACTGACGAACGAGATATCCTCAATGTATGTTCTTATAAGTACCGACTGTCAAGTTCTTTTCGATAATACAGAAAAACTGAAGCTATTGAATTATTAATGAACGAGTGATCGAGGACAACTTTCTGATTTTATATAATAAGTATTATGAATTAATTTGCACAAAATTGGCAAGTCTGAAGAGCGAGCGGTGGTCGTCGGGAGTGAAAATGCAAGTGATGTTAGTTAGAAATGCGATAAGTCATTATTTGGGTGCTATACACACGTAGGTGTGTATATATCTTCAAACTATCGTGAATAGGTGCAACATTTTAAATAATTGCAGTTACTATAAGGCGTTATTGTGTTTTAAGAAGTGCAAATTGTAATAATGTGAGGGAAACCATTTACGTTCCCATCCTCAATTGGAGCATGTCTAGCATTAATTTTTTTAATACTTCAGCTTGGTCGGGTAATGCCACAGAGCATGCAGCAACTAGAATGTAATAACCCCGCCGCGCCGCAACGAGCGATGAATGTAACGCATTAAGTTATTATCGTAACGTAAAATTTTGCTGCTTTGCAAAGTTGTCGCAATTGTTTCACCAAGTTTCCTTGTGTAAGTTTATTGCATACTTTAAGATAAATCTAATAGTATAGGAAAAAACAACTTATGGCAATTTTGCAATCATAGCATTCCGCTATTATATTGCTACAAAATCACGTAATTCTCACCTCTCAACCATTTTTTTTATTTAATGATAAATCTAAGCACCACATTTTCGCAAATTATGATAAGGGTGCTTCAGGTCAATAAACTGTTTTACTTACTAGTTATTATATAATAATTCGTTTTCAATCCCGTAATAAAACAATGAAATTTTAGGACGGCAAAATAAAATAATTTGTCAGTCTACGCCATACATTCTACAAATTGACTCTCTGTAGGTAATTTCCTATTCTGTTACAATTTGTGAAGGAACGTTGATTTTGAAAAATGCTTCATAAATTACTTGTCACATGGATGTGGGACACACCAAAACCACGGAACGATATTCTCGATGGAAGTTCGTTTTAAAGTATGCTGAGTGCATGATGAAAATTTGGGGTCATCGTATTTATGCTTGGCCTGTATACAACCACAAAAGGTACATCCAAACTAGTTAACTGCTGTTACGTTAACTGAATTATGTTATTATGTGTTTGCGCTCTGGAAACACATGCTGACAAACATTCGACCTGGTTGACTGCTAGCACCGTCTTACTATGGTTTACAATGAACTACATTACCATTGGCACCTTCCGAATAGTAACCAGAAATGTGTTTATTCGTTTTTGCTTATGTCGATAGAAATTGAAGGAAAAATACGGCATTGTTCTTGGTCTCATAAAATCCACTCCAGCGTGACGTCGGGAATAATTCTAATTATTGAATGCGATGCTAAGCATCCTCGCACGATGGGCGTCCATGTGCTCCTTAATTATCATCAAACGACCAGCGATGGCGAGTGTCGCCTCGGCAATAAACTTTTGTTTTGTTTCATCGTGCGTTCAATGTCTCGTGACGCGCGCATTAATAAACTAACATATGTTCGTTGATTTAATGCTATTTACTTTTTAATGGCCACCGGTACATCACCACACTAATTTGAAATGCAATGGCGTTTTTAACTTGTTCGACACGAATACCGACTTGCTGAAATAATTTCCACGTTTTTGTAGTGCTCTTGGTGCACACGAGAGCTATCCTGTTATTGCAACGTGAAAATGATTTCTGCAAATCGATTTCTATTGCTAGATCTTAGAATTAGACATGAAATTGAGCACACAACTACAGAAATAGAACTCACATACTAACATTTAATTAATATAAGTTAAAGTCTGTTTAAAATATCAAATAATGTCATTTTTCTGATTTAAACTAACGTTTGTTTAGTTGGAATTTATGCAGTACTTTGTTGTGGTTTATGGCAGACGTGTTCAATGAAATTTCTATTAGGTACCGTAATTCGTTCAGCTCTACATATTTCAATAAATAATCCGTTAAAATGAAATTTCGAAAAAATGTTCTCATTATTTGCCTTTGAACCTCTTATTACTTCATTAGATTAGAAATGGAAAATGTAGCCTGCATTTTTATGGCTGTCTTATGACCTGATCCAATAAAAATGTGTTAAATAATATTATATGCAAATGTTCAAAATTACTGTACAATCATACTTTTGTAGCAAATGGAAATTATTTCCAGAGTGAATTCTACTGTATTTTATTTATTGCACAACCTGCATAGTTCAACAACGAGATTCCTTTGTTTCACAGGTCGTGCACGGTGTTCACATCGAGCCCCAGCACATTATGAAGAAGAGGAGCGCTGATCAGCCATTGCGGATACTTCTTTTCTATGACGTCAGTGTTTACAGGTTAGTATTGCATGCATATTGATTGTGGAATGTTTTAATTGAACTTTAATATAACTTTTTATCACAACGATCCAGTATTACACACTGAAGAGAAACTGGAAGCAAAGAGATAAATTCGTTATCTTGCTACTTCAGACTGCTTTTGTTGCCATGATCTTTGCGATTAATTAACAAATAATAAGCAAGTATTTGCTAGCAAACGGTTGATCCGGAATCAGATAAAACTTACATCCTACATCCTACTACTAATTTAAATATACTAAATTTGCAATGTAATTTGTTTTTTTTGAATACAGGTTGGACCAGGAACGTTTCGAGTTGATTAATGTAAGACACGTGAATTTTTAAATACAATTTTTTAATTGTTCATTATAATTATTGTAGAATACGATATTGCCACAAGCTGTACATTTTTGGGAACGTGCATTGTTTGTGCGTAAAGTGGAAAACGTTATTAGATTAACCCGGTATGCACCTTTGTCACTTTCTTTTTGCTCCCAAAATTAATTTTCTACATCTATGGAATTGCAGAAAATGTAACGAATCACAAGTATTCGTCAAGGATTCATTGACGCATTGCATTGACACGTGCAAAGAAAAAACAATGTGTGGAGAGGTGGAGGTTCCCGAACAACATTTAGACGCATGCAGGGTGTGCAATACTACTGGACAGGATTGTAAAATTGAAGCCGGTTCTAAACCTGGTGAAGGTAAAATTTGCAACGGATTAATTTTGACTCGCAATAAAAGGAAACTTTGTATTTCGGTATTAAATTTAGATTGTTAAACATTTATATGCTTTCTGTTTTATCCATGACTGCCACTTTTTGTGTGCACGTGAAGGCTTAAATGTGGACTTTCATTAATGAATTATTTATTCAAATCACCTTGTTTGTAGGCATCCAAGACTCGGATTTTGTGTTTTACGTGTCGGCAATGCAAACTGAACGATGCAATAAATCCTTGACCGTTGCCTACGCCGCTCATTGCCAACAAGAAATCGCACTCGACAGGTGAATTCGGCAAATACGTTTCTCTCACCAATATGCATAACTTTCACTTATGTGGTAATTTTTGTTTTGATTATGTGCGCAGACCCATTGCCGGACATGCTAATTTGTGTCCCAACAGTATCAGCACCAAACCACAGGAGTTGGAAACGCTGTTATCAACTGTAAAGCACGAAATTCTGCACGCTTTGGGATTCTCTGTCAGCTTGTATGCTTTCTACAGGGATGACAATGGCGAACCGCTAACACCCCGCCGACCGGATACCGGCAAACCTGTACTCAACGAAAAGTTTGTATTGCATTCGATTCGCCTATGCTAGATGATTACATTAGATATTGTATTTTTTTGCTGCAGATTGCAGACATACCAATGGAGCGATAAAGTAATACGTCCAGTAACGCGAAGAAATTGGCTCGTGAGATCGGGCGTTGTGTCGCGTGACATACAAATGGTAGTAACGCCACAAGTCGTGCAAGAGGTGCGCGATTATTTTAACTGTTCGCAGTTAGAAGGTGCAGAATTGGAAGACCAAGGTGAAGAAGGCACGGCACTCACGCATTGGGAGAAGCGTGTGTTTGAGGTAAACGCGCAGCTTCTTTGTTCTTGTGGCATTCGCATGCTAATAAACGTTCTTTCATGACATGATCTCTTGTTCCTTGATCAGAATGAAGCAATGACCGGAACACACACGCAGAATCCGCAAATATCTCGGGTAACGTTAGCATTAATGGAAGACACCGGCTGGTATAAGGCGAATTATTCCATGGCGGAGCCGTTAACTTGGGGCAAAGGTCTTGGTTGTGATTTCGTGATGAAGAGCTGCAAGGAATGGATCTCAACCAAAGCAGACCGGTAAATATTAGATTCTAATTTTACAGACTAATGATTTCTAATTAATGAAATGTTTGTGCTTTGCAGAGGAATGTCAATTCATCCGTTCTGCAATAAGGTAAAGCGAGATCCTCTTCAGACGGAATGCACCGACGACCGCACGTCGGTTGCCTTGTGCAATCTAATTCCACATGATCATTTGCTACCCAAACTTTATCAGGTCTGTTTAAATTAGATATTCATCAAGTGATTTGGACTGAATCACTTCTGTGTTCATTATCTTGATATAATTGCATTTTCTCTTTAGAACTTTGACTCGATCGATCATGTCGAAGCGGGCAGTGAAGGGTTCTACGGTGGATCGGTCTACTTGGCGGATTATTGTCCTTACATTCAGGAATTTACGTGGCGCTCGAAGAATGTTATTGTACGTGGATCACATTGTCAATACGAAGATAACAACCCAAGTATGTGCAAACTCCCAAAATTAATTATTAAAGATATAATAAGTATGATTTAAGGGCCAGACAAAAATTTTGCCTTTGAAAAATATGGCAAGCATTCCCGGTGTTTTGACCACACCGACCGAATGTGGGAGGAACGGTCCTGTAAACAAATGCGCCAATGGCAGCACTGGGGTTCGGGCTGTTACAGTTACAAATGCGAAGGTGGACGCCTTCACATTATAGTAAGTGAGAACTTTTAAATCTTCGATTTCACTATCAATGTTTGTATAGGTGGGAAACTACACTTACACTTGCTATCATTCGAAGCAAGAAATCTCCATCCGAATATTGAACAATGACTGGCTCCATCGCGGCGCGATTGTGTGCCCGCCATGCAAAGAACTTTGCAAGGAGGAGTTTAATGTGACCGGCGATAGTTGCAAACCTGGCCAGGAACCGCCCCCAGCCAACTTCTATCCTCACGATGAACTGCACTGCAATGGCGCTTCTCACCTCACGTTTTCTTTGCCAATACTTTTATTCGTACTCATCTCGTTTAGTCTCGCTTGCAATGAGAACAGATGATCGTATGATAAGTAATTGCGATTGCAACCAGACCGTTCCTTTAAGACTGTAACATTGGCGCTGCAAATAGCGCAAAAGCACGGGCACATTTAACGACGTCCAAGCGCCTCGTACGCCTGATCTACAACTTACATTTTTGTGATATGTGAGCATTATTGTAATAATACAAAGAGTAGAATTAACATGAGTTAACAATGAATTAACCCTTGAAATTAAATTGTTCTCCAATGCGCGTTTAATATTTATTAATGAATTGTAAATAAAATACGACCTCAAGTAAATAACATGTATTAAATATACAATTACCACTAAAACTGATGCTACCGAGTGCATTTGCACATGAAGTATTCCCATTTCAATCAGTCTGTTATAAAAATATTGATTCTAGCATTATCACTTATTCAATTAGTATTTTTAATTTGGTTCCAGGCTTTGGAAGAATTTTATTTTATAATTTTGTTAAATGGCTTAATTAGTTAGCATCTGTGAAGCACATTTTCAATCAATCATTCCGGTAGTAATCTTTTCTCGAAGTTGAAAAATTTCCAATACTTTTTAAGCGTATAGATTACGTCGGTGAATGTGCGATGTGCATTGTCCTTCTGCCTGCTCATATCAGAAGGTGGTGGCAGCGGATCGCCAAGCAGAGTTTTTATGCAAAATACCATCGAGTGCTTCAAGGTATTGATGTTGTAGCCACCCTCAAGAGCAACAATCAGCCGACCGCCAGCGAGCGGTCTCAATAACTGAATCATGTGTCCGAATGTTTGTGGCATTACTTTGTAGTTACCCAGCAAATCGTTGATACCAGCGTCAAAGCCAGCCGAGACAAGCACTACGTCTGGACCGAAAGCATAAGCACAAGGAAGGACAATCTTGAAGAATGCCGTCAGGTAATCAACACATCCCATTTTATTCTATAATAAAACAAACACAAGTTATAATATTTAATAATATGATATCTTATGTAACAATAAACGAATACCTACAATTTCAAATGGTACATTCACATTGAAACCTGCACCAACGCCAGCGCCCACCTTATCAAAACTACCGTTGCTAGAACGTGGGAAATACGTTCCACTCTCGAATTTGTGAATACTGATAAACATCACTTTATCTGAGTTATAGAAGATATCTTGCGTGCCATTACCATGATGTATATCAAAATCCAGAATCAAAATCCTATCAAATAATGCAATTATGTAGTTCAAATGAAAACTAAACAAATACGTACCTTTCAGCTAATCCATTGTCCAGCATGTATTTAGCTGCCACTGCTACATTATTCACAAAGCAGAATCCTGAAGTTTTCGATTGCTCTGCATGATGACCCGGCGGTCTTATCAATGCTACGCCAGAAGTGTACTCCCCAGACATCACAGCATCACATACTGTTATCAAGCCCGAGACGGCCGTTTCTATGCTAATCTTACTGCCTGAGTTCCAGAATAAATCGTGAGTAGTTGGCGGAATCGATGGGCCATCATTAATTAAATCATCCAAGTATTCCTTAGAATGAACTTCAATTGATAGTGCTCTGAAATCAACACGTTTGATTTCCAACTGTTTGCAACGTTTGTCCAATTCCAATTCTAAGAATCGATCGTAAAGCGCCTGCAATCGCAGAGGGTTTTCAACAGTCTCCTCGGGCGCTTCATGCGTAAGCATTACTGCATCAAAAACATAACATAATTTGTTTTTCATTGGCAGACCATAATCCACTTTCAAACAATCCACGAGTACTTTCAAATCGTCCTGCTCTTGCTGTGAGACCACCGGGTAACAATTACGAGTTGGATATGGAGGAGAATCTTCAAAACCTTTGTATTGTACGTTTACAATATGCTTTTCTTCATTGGCATATTTAATTCCAATATTTTCGAATACTTTGAAACACTTCCAATATTTACAAAGTACACTTTTTACATCATTAATAGTGGAAATGACTTCGTCATTTGGTCCGTCTTTCATTGGTAGCAAAAACGCCGGAGCATCATCTAAAAGTGCTCGCAATGTCATCGCTACACCTTCCGCCAGAGATGGCAAAAAGTAGCCCCCTTCTAAAACGACAGCCAGTTTACCATATGCCAGCCCACTCAGTAATTTAATAAGGTGACCGTAAAAACCGGGCGTGACTTTCATGCAACCCTGTAAGGATACAAGTTTTAAAAAAAAATGGTTAAGTTGATTCATTGCATATGAATATAGTTTGTGAAACCTTTTCATCGCCAAGGGCTGAATCGAAGCCAGCACAAACCAACACTAAGTCAGGATTAAACTGAAATGAGAATAAAATGAATAAAGTTTATACCTCCGGACAGCCGACGCACGCATCATATCCAGCGCAAAAAAGTATCAAATCTGGCTGAAACTGGCAGAGCAACAAAGCTTAAACAGATCTTAAGAAATAGTATATTCTGAACTTACTTCATATGCAACAGGTAGCAGAATTTGCGTAACAATTGCCATATAATCTGTATCAGTACAACCAATGGTATTTAACGGGAAATTAATGTTAAAACCTTCACCAGCGCCACTTCCAACGTGATCAAAATTGCTGCGGCGTAAGTTGGGCCAAAATTCCCCATGTTCATAACGATGTATCGAGAAATACAAAACACTGGAACAAAACAGATTTAAAATTAGCTCTAATACCCTTGAAAATATAGCCAGCATAGCATACTTATTATTATTATAAAACATATCTTGGACACCTTGACCATGATGAACATCGAAATCAACAATCAAAATCTTTTGCGCTAGAGATTGGACGGCCGCCGCCGCAATGGCAACATTATTAAAGAAACAATAACCATTGTAAATGTCCTGTTGGGCATGGTGCCCTGGAGGGCGCACAACTGCCAATCCATTGCTAACTCTTCCTTCAGCAACTGCTCTCACCAAGCCCAATGTTGTTGCTGCAGCAACATTAGCACAATGAAAAGTATCTTTATTAAAATAAATCGCATCGTAATTAGATGCTATTTTCTCTGCTTGATTAACATTAAACGGTTCACAGATTTTATATAAATTCTCGTACTGTGTGCGTTGATGTAACTTAGTAATATCGTCGATATCAATATGTTCGTTCTGGATCCGTACACAGCGATTAACAAGGCCCAGTTCGTTCAACCGATGCATTATGGCAACATAACGAGCTGGATTCTCCGGATAGCCCGAATCCCATTCGCACTTGTGCATTATCATATCGTCATTGAATGCTATACCTGTCCGTCCACGTACCAACAATGCACTTTTGAATGACTCTGCATACTCATCTTGCACCCAGTCAGAGTGGTTCATAGTCTCTTGTGCCTCTTTCGCCATTTTTAAATTTCGCATGCGCTTCTTGAAGTCTTTTAGGCTTTCCTGCAACCAGAATCAGAATGAAGTGGATTCTCACAAATGTGTGATGCACACATTACACCATCCTGTATTTTGAGTGGGCCAAATCTGCTAGTTAAATCTGGAAATAATTATAACACTGAATCGAGACTCATCAATATTCGTAAGTAGGTACGATTAATAAAATTAGGAGTTACATCAAATATGCATAGGAAAGTGAGTCATGCCTAATGTAGAAAAAAATATAAACAACCACCTGCTGACAGAGTAAACAAAACCAAATTACCTTTCCCCTACAAGCAACGATTAAGTGCAGAAAACTCAAATGTCAAGATAAATGTATGCAAAATGTATTTCCAATTCTTTCCACGTTACGATGTTATCTCGTTATTTGATTAAAGAATTAGAAACTACTCCAGCTATATGTACGTTTCTAACCTTCAGTTTCCATTTGACGTTTGGTTTATTCCCTGTGTCAACACGAAATACTTGTTTAGTATTCTAATTAGATAGTCCTATCACTTAATGGACAGAACAGCTACAAAGACGGGCCACACTTGAGCAATTAAAAATTAGATTCTATAACTGGGTGGATACTTATATACGTAGACTATGTACTACTCATACACTACTATTATCTGGTCCAGTCTGACCCGAACTGCTCCGAACCACTTGCTGAGAATCTCAGCCTGAGATTAGTATGTACATATTAAACCATGGCTGGTTATACTCCCTCCTCTAATATAGAATATACGAAATCTCATCTAATTTATTTCCTATTTGTAAATAAAACTACATATTTACTTAGTAAATTATTTTTTTGCACACGCATGATGTATGATATATGATCTGACACATAATTTAAATGATCGTTTCAAAATTCGCGCTAAATTTTGCACGTCAATTTCGCTATTTGGGTTCTCAATTTTTTAGGTTATTTTCATACGATTTTTTTGCTGATTTTTTATAATAAAGTGGCAATGACGGTGTTAGCAATTAAAATAAAATATCCCGAATTTGTGTAATAGGATTTGCCATAGAGCAAGGTCGTTATTATATATGTATATATATAATGAAATATACAGTCATGTCTATTGAGAACATTGCTTGGTGTCCATGCAACAGAACTATAAATTGAAAACAAGTAAATTTGAAAGTTTCTTGTAATTATGGAAAATTAAACAGTTATCAATTTATCTTTAAAATGAATAGGGTTTTAAGTTGTAAGTTGTACCAAATTTTTTGTATTCGTCGTGGTCTCTCTACACATTTCTCACACTGGACCACACTTGGTAAAACTTTTAACCAACGACCTATGAAAGATGATTCAAAAACTTCACCAAAGAAGGTAGTACAGTTAGGCAAATTATATGTTATGGTTGATAAATGAATTGGTTTATAGGGGTTATTTAATGTGCCTGAACTTGATGGATATGATGGATTTTTTACTCTTAAGGAACAATGCATTATTGCAACAGAGGCCCTCATGCATGAGATAACAGACTTAAAGAGAAATCGTAAGATGGTGCAAATCTTTGATGATCTATCAGATAACTTATGCAAGGTTGCTGATTTAGCTGATTTTATCCGCTTGGCACATCCATCTCAATCCTACACACAGGCAGCAGAACAGGCATGTGGTGCTGTGAGTGGTTTAGTTGAAAGGTAAATTTTAAATTTAATGTAGTAAGACTCATTTAGTATTATATATCTAATTCTCAGATTAAATACTGACAAACGTTTATATGATGCACTTCATAAGGTCGTGAATTTAGGTGATAAACACTCAACCAATGTGACTGATGATCATGTTGCCAAATTATTTCTGTTCGATTTTGAGCAGAGTGGAATTCACTTGCCAGAAAACTTAAGAAATCATGTGGTTTTATTGAACGATCAGATATTGCGCCTGGGACAGCAGTTTGTTAGTCAAGCAGCGCATCCTCGTATTGTACCAAAGAGCGTCATTCCTGAACATGTTCAACATTTGTAAGTAAATTATAATTCAATATAGGTTGATATCTAATTCCGTTTTTGTAGGTTTCCACCGGAAGGCAATAATGTTGTAATAAACGGACTAAATGTGGATTCACCAAATTCTATAGCTCGAGAGGTATCTTACAAAATCTATCTTTGTTCTGATCATTTGCAGGATGAAACGCTAAAGGAATTATTAAAGTCACGTCATGAGTTGGCTGTCACTTGTGGCTTTGAGACCTATGCGGAGCGAGCATTGCGCGGTAGTATGCTGGACACCCCAAGAATGGTGACTGATTTTTTAAACCATCTGTCAAGTGATTTAAAACGAAGCGCCGAGGATGATTTCAATCTGATGTTAAATATTAAGAAAGGCGAAAGGGGTGAAGGTTTCCTCGCCGCATGGGACGTTCCCTATTATACTCAAAAGTACAAGAAAGCAATGTTAAATGTCTCAGCATCGGACTTTTCACCATATTTCTCATTGGGTGCGTGTATGGAAGGATTAAACACGATTTTCAAAAATTTGTATGGTATTACATTGGAAGCAAATCCAGTTAGTGCTGATGAAGTGTGGGTCACCGATGTGTATAAATTGGCTGTCATTCATGAAACAGAGGGTATATTGGGATACATCTACTGTGACTTTTACGAACGCATTGGCAAGCCCAACCAAGATTGTCACTTTACGATACGCGGTGGGCGTAATCTTAACGGCCAATATCAACAACCTGTTGTGGTTCTTATGCTCAACTTGCCACTACCGCGTTGGTCTACGCCGACTTTATTGACTCCCAGCATGGTCGATAATCTCTTTCACGAGATGGGACATGCCATGCACTCGATGTTGGGACGCACGGAGTACCAACATGTTACGGGCACGCGGTGCAGCACTGATCTAGCCGAGGTGCCCTCGGTTTTGATGGAATACTTTGCGCGCGATCCACGCATTCTGAAAACGTTTGCACGACACTTCCAAACTAATGAGCCAATGCCAGATAATATGCTGGAGTTACTATGCGCCTCGAAGAATGTTTTCATGGCGAGCGAAATGCAAATGCAAGTATTTTATTCGATGGTAGATCAGCATTTTCACAATGGATATCCTCTGAAAGGAAACTCAATGGAGGTTCTTGCGAATGTGCAAAATAATTATTATAGTCTACCTTATGTTCCGAACACGGCGTGGCATCTCCGATTTACGCATTTAGTTGGTTACGGTGCCAAATATTATTCGTACTTGGTGTCGACTGCGTTGGCGTCATGGATATGGCATGCGTGTTTCGATCAGAATCCCCTTTGTCGAGTGCAGGGAGAAAGATACCGGCGTAACTTTCTTGCGCATGGTGGTGGTAAGCCACCTTGGGCTTTGATATCAGACTTCTTGCAGCGCGAACCTTCACCTGCTATGTTAGCCGGCTCTCTGGTTAGTGAAGTGGAGAATAAACGTGAGCGTTTGGATGTGTACATACGAAAATCCAAGTAGCTTCAATTTATTAAATTATTACGAAACTTAATAAATTATTGACTTACAACTTACAATCAAATTTTTACCAGCTTGTGTCACTAGTTACATGTATAGTTTGAATGTTGAATGCGGGGACGCGTTCGGCATTGGCCTGCGCCGCGTTTGTTTTAATTTTGTTTATGCTTATTTTTTATATTAAATGCCAAATGTCTAACCATTGTGGTATTTTATTTATACGCGCTTATCGGTGTATGCGGGTTTGATAGTCGCGCGAAGCGAATAGTGTGTATTGGGTTGCGGCCGGTGTTATCAACGGAAGTCGGAAGTCGGAGGTCCTAAACATCCTTTATCTCGGCTGTTTTCGGCTTAATTTGAAGGTTGTTTTGGAAAACACTGTATCCCTTAAAGTAATGCACCAATTTTGATACTTTTTTTCGACGATTTTTGAAAATTCATATCTCTTAAACTAAAAGCCAGAGCAACCAACGAATCGCTGATTATAGAAGACTAGAAAATTCTGTACCAGATAAAAATTTAAAATATATATATATTTCCTACAGTAAAGAGATAATTAAGATCCGATCGCAGCGTCTTAATCTACGGATTATTCTCTATAAGATAAGCTAGTTAAAGGAAATCTGAGGAGATGAAATTTTTAATTCTTAAGAAAAAAAATTGCCAAAGAGTGCTTGATACTTTTCGACGATTTTCGAAAATTCATATCTCTTAAACTAAAAACCAGAGCAACCAACGAATTGCTGATTATAGAAGACTGGAGAAAATTCTGTACCAAGATAAAAATTTAAAATATATATATTTCCTAAAGTAAAAGGGTCAGAAAAGGCGACTAAAAGTGCTAAAAGTGACATTTTTTAATTTTGCCCATTTCATTCAATCGCGAATATCTCGTAAACTAACAGAGATAAATAGGTACAACTCGCAGAGAATATTCTACGGACTAATATCTATAACATACAGTAGTTAAAGCGGAAATCTGAAAAATAAATTTTTTACTTAGAAAAATTGCCAAGAGTGCTTGATACTTTTTTTTCGACGATTTTTGAAAAATTCATATCTCTTAAACTAAAGCCAGAGCAACCAACAGATCGCTGATTATAGAAGATGGAAAATTCTGTACCAGATAAAATTTAAAATATATATATTTCCTACAGTAAAGGGTCGAAAAAAGGCGACTAAAGTGCTAAAAGTGACATTTTTAATTTTGCCCATTTCATTCAATCGCGAATATCTCGTAAACTAACAGAGATAATTAGGTACAACTCGCAGAGAATATTCTACGGACTAATATCTATAACATACAGTAGTTAAAACTGGAAATCAAAAAAATAAAATTTTTTACTTAAGAAAAAATTATACCCAGGGGTACTTGATACTTTTTTCGACGATTTTGAAAATTCATATCTCTTAAACTAAAAGCCAGAGCAACCAACGAATCGCTGATTATAGAAGACTGGAAAATTCTGTACCAGATAAAAATTTAAAATATATATATTTTCCTACAGTAAAGGGTCGAAAAAAGGCGACTAAAGTGCTAAAAGTGACATTTTAATTTTTGCCCATTTTCATTCAATCGCGAATATATAAATAAACTAACAGAGATAAATAGGTACAACTCACCCAGAGAATATTCTACAGACTAATATCTATAACATACAGTAGTTAAAGCGGAAACCTGAGAAATAAAATTTTTTACTTAAGAAAAAATTGCCAAGGGGCAGGTGCTTGATACTTTTTCGACGATTTTTGGTATATCTCTTAAACTAAAAGCCAGAGCAACCAACGAATCGCTGATTATAGAAGACCAGAAAATTCTGTACCAGATAAAAATTTAAAAATATATATTTCCCTACACTAAAGGGTCAGAAAAAAGGCGACTAAAAGTGCTAAAGAAGTGACATTTTTAATTTTTGCCATTTCATTCAATCGCGAATATCTCGTAAACTAACAGAGATAAATAGGTATCGCAGAGAATATTCTACGGACTAATATCTATAACATACAGTAGTTAAAGCGGAAATCTGAAAAATAATTTTTTACTTAAGAAAAAAATTGCCAAGGAAGTGCTTGATACTTTTTCGACGATTTTTGAAAATTCATATCTCTTAAACTAAAAACCAGAGAAACCAACGAATCACTGATTATAGAAGACTAGAAATTCTGTACCAGATAAAAATTTAAAATATATATATTTCCTACAGTAAAGAGATTCGAAAAAGGCGACTAAAGTGCTAAAAGTGACATTTTTAATTTTGCCCATTTCATTCAATCGCGAATATCTCGTAAACTAACAGAGATAAATAGGTACAACTCGCAGAGAATATTCACGGACTAATATCTATAACATACAGTAGTTAAAGCGGAAATCTGAGAAATAAAATTTTTACTTAAGAAAAAAATTGCCAAGAGTGCTTGATACTTTTTCGACGATTTTTGAAAATTCATATCTCTTAAACTAAAAGCTAGAGCAAGCAACGAATCGCTGATTATGGAAGACTGGAAAATTCTGTGCCTGAATAAAAATTTAAAATATATATATTTCCCTGCAGTAAGGGTCGAAAAAAGGCGACTAAAAGTGCTAAAAGTGACATTTTTAATTTTTGCCCATTTCATTCAATCGCGAATATCGTAAACTAACAGACCCGAGAGAGACGGAGGTTTGTTTGTATGAGTGATTGTATGTGTGTCAGTGTGTGCGAGTGTTTGTTTGTTTGCGGGATTTGGTCGCTGCGTTGGCTGGCGCTTCAGTCGGCTTGCTTGCGCTGGTGGCCGGTGGCGGCGTGACCGAGGCGGCATTTCATTAATTTTAATTTTTTCGTCATTTGGAATGTTTTCAGTGACAATACTTTTGTGAGCATGACATTTATCACCACGAGATTCTGAGAAGCAATAGCAAAATTCTCAAAATTCTCAGTTTTTTGTGGCCTAGTCGACGTTGCGACTTCGGTTGCACAGACTAGCTTCTCAGTAAATGTTGCACGCAAGAAATTTGGAAAGATTTATTTAATATGTCTATCTCTAATACGTCATGTACAAGAGACCAAGTAATGACGTACGTCTGCTAATGATTGAAGCCGAAGTGCAACCGATTAGCAGAGGCAAATATGATAGAGGAAAAATATATCATTTGGAAACTTAACATGTCGTACGTAAATATGATATACAAATATTTAGTCGCTAATTATTATAAGATTTAATTACTAAGCTATCTATGATATCTATTGGTGAGACAACGGTCATAACACTCCTCCCCCCTTATAAAAAGAATTCCCTTCGTCACGAAGGCACGTTTGTTTCCGGAATGGTTGATGCTGCTGGATCTTGTAGTGTTGTTTCGCAGTACGGAGTATAATTTATGGCATCCGCAGATGGTTTCATTGCCATGAAATGTCTTGCAGGTAGAAAAATCCTCCAGCATGCTATATTCGTTACCTGCTGCATCAATTAGTATGTATGGTTGAACAGGAATTTGAATACGTTTTCGCGGGTATTGGGAGAGAGTAATACGGAGTTTGAGTCCAATTTTAATTGGCATAGTTATCAGCTGAACCAAATGTCGATTCTAGTTCGATTCATGAAACCGTTTATTGTGGATGTTAGGTTACCGATTACCATAAGGTTTCTATTGAGCTGCGTTATAACTATCTATTGCGCTTTGCATGACATGTATTTGGTGTTGTAATAATAAGTCAGAGTTGTGGTTTTGATTTGTTAGTTCCTTGATTGAGGATTCGTAATATTGACTTACAAGTTGGGGTACTTCGCTCTCTAAAAGGTTCTCTGCTTGATTGCAGTAATTTGTTGGGTTTTTCACGCAAATTGCTTTTAATTCATTAAGTGATGTTTCGATTATATGTAGGTTGTTTAAATTTTAAATTTTGTAGCAAGTGATACACTTTGGATGTCAACGCTGATCAACATGGTCACTTATCAATTGGTGATGTTGGAGCAACAAAAAAATCATCGGGATGTAATAGAATTAAATTTTCGTTAATTACGATGTTTCTAAGTGAATTGCCGTTAGCGTTACAAGATCGGCATTTCCATTCGGTATGTTTTGGGTTAAAGTCACCGGCTAGGATAACTTTGTGGCCTGAGTTTGTGAGGGATTGTATGTCGATGGGATTTATTCTATTGTTAGGATGGTTGTAAATTGAGAGAATAGTCAGACCGTTATCCAGTTTGATACCGATGTTTTCAATAGTACTTATAATAGAGTCTGTGTGGCTATACTTTATGCCCGACGTGATAACAATTGCCACTCCCCGATCTGCCGGTATTAACATTTCTGACTAAATTGAAGTTGGGGATTTTAATTTTGTCTGCGATGTCTAGCTTTGTTGCTGATATTAGTGTGATATCTGGGTTCGTTCTTGGCAAGAACTCACGGAGATCTTGTACTTTATTTAAAAGACCGTTAGCGTTCCAAGCTACAATTGTTGTTTTACGGTCCATTATTGGCGATGTTATTGTTCTTTGTGAGATTGTTGGCGCTTGTAAATATTTCAAGTAAAGTTAAGTTATCAGGTTTAGCTTTTAGATTTTTAATTGTGGAGTTAATTGTTTTGAGGAAAGACAGGAAATCTTCCAAATCTATCGATTCTTGTAATATTTTAACTCATGCAACACATTACCAATTGTACCTGATGACGTTGTTGCCCATTGGTGTTGGTTCGTTTGTTGCATGGCTGGAGTGGGATGGTAGTTTCTAGCAGGAAGTGTTGGAAATTGTTTGTTGTCTCGGACATTTGGAGCAGCAGGTGGTAGTGGTCTATCCCTTTCCCGTTGTTGTTCACGCTTCTCTAGGATCTTAACGTACACCGGACAGTGTACGTAGTTCGCGAGGTGTTGTAATCCGCAATTAGGACACTTAAGTTTCGGTCGGTCGTCATTCATGTCGGCTTCTTCCGATTCTTCGGATGGGTGGTAGACTTTTAAGTCTTTTGGAAACGAGCAGTCCCGCGAGAGATGCGGTCTTGCGCATTTCATGCAGCGCGGTGGTTTTCTGCAGTTGGAGCTGCCATGCCCCATTTCTGGCTCGTGTGGCAT